CACTGTTGCTGTCTCCACTACTGAAAGACATCACTTACTGCCTCACTGTGCTCACATCCACTATTTTATCTCCATATACATTCAAGATGAGTGTCAATGAATATCAGTGGGTGCCATTTTTTCCACATGAAGGTATTCAATGACATGCCTTTACTTCGTACACACTTTGACATCATTCTGTCAGACTGACCCTCTGCTTCAGTCTGCCACATGAAAACAAAATGTAATGGAATATTGGTAGGAAGGTCACCCATATTGGTTATGACATCGTGGGCAAACATAATGAAATAGGAGGTATTGCTTCAGAGCAGCCTTCATAAAATCAAATTGGCTGAGGTGATTCCTTCACATTAGTCTTATTCCCATAGATTAGTCACTTAGTTCCACTCAAATCAATAACTTGTGAGTGGGTAAGTGAGAAGTGAAAGACAAGCATAATAAATTCTTTAAATCCTGTGTTGGCAAATAGATATATAATTCTGTCAAACTTATCACCATGGCTGATCTTTTATTTGCATATTTTGAGAGTTTTGATCTACAAATGGATTTTAATTTGTCTACTTTTAAAAACAGCCTTGTGGTAGTGGGAACAGGTCATACATAATCAAAGCACTGAAAATAGGCAGAAGGAAGATGTAGAGAAGCTACATCTTCTGTATGAAATGCAATTACCATTATTGTAATTCTTTTGTACCACAAAACAGCCTTACTATACTGGGTATCATCCACATTCAGAGGTTTTTTGAGAGATGTAATGGATTCCTATCTACGCAAACGTTACAGTCTTATAAACTGAACATGAACAATTTAAGAATGTTTTTCTCACTGCAGCACTTAGGAAGAGGCAGAAAGAAATGACTTTCTCAAGGACATTATGGTAGGCTTGGAAACAGAACCAATTGATCTGAAGCACAGCTTAGGGCCTGAACTGAAATAATTTCCATTTGCTGTACTAAGATGAGTTCAATAAAAAGCCCAAGTGGAGAAAACTGTACACTGGATCTGTAGCTAGAATTAGACATTGATGCATGTGAGTACCGGTGAGACTGTGAGCTTGAGACCTTTTCTTGGCCACAATATCAAAAAAAGTTGTATTTTCTATTAATACATAAAGCTCATGACCTCTTTAAGCACTGACATTACAAGCAAAGGTTAGCAGGGGTATACAGTTTTCACTGTACCTCCCCAAGCACTGCCTTCCCATGGTTTTTCTCCTGCTTTTCTCCAATTACCTGAGGATTGGTGGGAACTTTCATTCAGTCTTCACTACATACATAATATGCAAAATGCAACTCAAATTTCACAAAAGAGTACCAAATCAAATCTCCATTAGTACTACTGGCCTCATTCTTTACCTGGAAAAGTCATCTCCAGAGATTAGTAATTTATCTATCCTAGATAACCAGGACTTCTGAAAATGAAATAGCTTCTCTGATGTAAGCATTGAGAATCAATATCCATTAAAGCCATAAGGACACTTTAAAATATGAAACATATGAGTATCCAAGTCATGCCATCAGCAGGCCAATTAATTTTGGTAATACATAGGCATACAGGACAAGCTGTGGTCTTCACAGAGAACTTCAAATGGTCCAAGTACTCAGATGTCACAGATCTGCAAATGAAGTATTCCTGGGAGAGACAAGTAAAGGAGAGGACTTGGCCTAGTATGTGAGGACAGGCTGCAGGGGCAAATCGGTTAGCCATGGCTGTAGAGATATATTTTTTACCCATATATCAGCACTGCTGATTAAAAATTACTGTTGGCAAAATTCAGTGACACCTCAGATGTGAAGCCATTACCTTCTCAGACACATCTATGGCATTCACCAAGAATTGGGGAGGACAAGAATCATTCAGTAGAAATACTGTCCCCACAGTTTTTCCCAGACCTCTGGGTTTCACACAAAACTGAACTGAAATCCTACCCTTAGCAGTTCTGTTCAGTTCAGAACAGTTGCCTTCTGCAAGTGGTGCCCCAAAAGTATGTTTACATATTTTGCATATTTTTTCACATAGATTGTCATTCTCCACTTTCTCCCTTTCTCACTCTAAGCCACACTCTTTAACTTTCTGGAAGAAGATGATAAGACACACAGATAAAGTGACTGCACCGAGGCTCAGCTCAGTCTCAAAAGAACCATATGGGAGGTATTACTATGGAGCATAAAAGGGAAAGTGACAGGCATGGTGTGTGGCACTGACGTTTTTGTGGTGAACTGTTTCAGAAAACTCCCAAGAAAACATCACATCAGTGGAATGAAAATCAGTGCAATTAAAGAAATAAATCAATTCCACAAAGATGAGTCAGTTAGTGGCTGAGAAAGATGTAATGTGCTGAAATGGGAATGGCTGCGAGACAAATATAATTGTGCATTATTTTTTTCTTTTTCTGATGCAAGGATTGGTTGATACAGCTCTGTAAAGGCTGTAGTCTCCCACCAGCACCATCAGATAAAGTGCTGTTTGGTATGAGACAAAGGAGAGGTTGTGGCTGCTTTGCAGCTCCCATTGTCACTGTGGATTGTTCCAACCTTGCCTTTGCATACATAAATGCTAAATAATCAAATTAGGAGAAGTCTTGTTTTATCAGAGCATTTCCTTGCACATATTAAGTCTCAAATATTTTTCCCAAATTTGAAGCTTTTCTAAACAACAAATATTCAATTAGTCAAAGCAAAGAGACCACCAGCCACAATTTTCTGTTACTTCTGCCATGTGGGCTGAAGTAGGAATTTTATCCAGTCATTTATTTATCCTGAGCAAAATCCACTCTGCAGAAGCAAATCATCTGTGTGCCATCATTTCTGGCTCTCTTTAGTCTTTATGCCAGGTATTGTGCAATGAACAATACCACTCTGCATGCTGATGGTTGTTCTGAAATTTGGGACCATTTAACCTTCTAGTTGTCTTAATTACTACATTTTTTTAAGGCAATAAAATCAAAGAAAGTTCTACAAAATTCCACCCTTAGAAAACTTAAAATCAGTGCTTACTTGCACAAAATTAGCAGTAGCATTCGGATCATTTACGATCTGGTGGTTTTTGTTTTCAGGGAGATATCTGGGGAGATAAGGTGACTAGCAGACAATAATTATTCTGCACCTCCTCAGGAGAGTCTGTCTGCAATTCTTGAAACATTCCACAGTCTAATTTAAGTCTTTCTTTTCAGAAAGTATAAATAGTGGGGGCTTTATAGCCTTTATTTTAGCTCTTGTATTCCTTCCACTAAGTATTCCACAGCAAACACCACATCTATGTGGAGCCTAACCTTTGGCACTCAGCTTCCATACAAGCTTACCAGCAAGCTGTACAAAATATAAGCAGCATAATGTTTTCAAAGACTGATGTAAATGGGCCTCAGTGGAGACAAATTTCATTGTAACTTTTTGTCTATAGACAAACATCCTTAAAAAAATACCGCAGTGCCACCAGTCTGTGAAAAAGCCAAGATCAACATTAGCTTGATCACTGTCATGAACTCACAAATAGAAAGCAAGTAACCAATTTGTAGGTAGCAATTTATAGATTTACAGTTAAAGTGCAAGATGCACTTAAGTGCCCATAAAAGGAAATTGAAAGGAAAGATTAATTTCTTTCTACTAAAGGGAGATAAATCTGTTGTAAGGTTTGGGTTTGTTGAAAGCTAGTTTACCGAAAACAAAGAAATATGTTTTGTTCCAGCTTTGTGTTATATGTTACTGAGCCACACCAAGCAATTCCTCTCTTTCTCAACGCATTTTTATAATTGTGACATTATGCTAGTGCTTCTATTAGAAAAAGAACAACGTGCCTACTATCAAAAATGTGAAAATATATAAACACCAAAGTTTAAAGAACCAGGTCTGGAAAGCTGGCCCATACTATTACTGAGTTGCTCTTTATCTATGATAATTACGTTTGCAGTACCATGAATGGAAATATAAAAATAGTTGTAGCTGCCCGCAGCTACCAGATTACTGATGGTTTGTTATTCTGTGCCATTCTCCTGCTTTGTAAAGACTTTCTTATCTAGAAACACATTTCTGTTTAGGCAGAGACGTACAAAAAACCTTGTTGTACCAAGAAAAGAATCAAGCTTGAACTATATATTCCTTGAGTTTTTTGTTCATCATTCATTGCACACCAAAAAAGCCAACAATCCAAACCCAGAATAAAATAAAAAAGGACCAGATATCTTTTTCTGAGTTATGATTGAGTTAATAACAATTGCTTGTAAATAATGTTGTAAAGCTATTTTAATTTATTTACTTATTCACTTTGACTTTTTTTTTTTGTACTTGTCTTGTTTTTTGTATCGCCTGTAACTTGCCAAAATTGAAGATGTGATATATCTGGGCAAGAAATTGATTTTATCTTTCAGATCTGCCCAGTGCCTGCCTTGCTAACTACTTGGTCAGGGTCCTTATGCTTTCCTATAGTGGGACCAGCTGAGGTGTATGGAGGAGACCAGGGAGGTAGATGGACTTTCAGGTGAATCTGCCACCAAGCTTCACACATGAACCCACACAGAGATGTACTGACACAGATATATATTTGCCTGAACTCACCTGTTATTGGCCATTTACACCTAGATTGAGGAAAAGACAGATAGGGAAGCTGTTCACTTTTTGATTGTCTGGTGGCCACATTGGATGTTGGCAACTGTTCCAATGATTTACATTAATTTCAGGATCAGGATGAACAAATATCCTCTCTCTTTTGCCGTATGGCCCCTCTTTGGACAAAATATTGGAATCTCTTAAGCAGAAGTTTATGTGGTGGGAGTCACATACCCAGGCACTGGACAAAATTTATATGCATAGCAACAGTTTTATTTACAGTTACATATATATTTATCTCTACATATATGTATATATTAATTATATATTAAAAATGCCAACATTTAGAGACAGGTTTTGTAAATAAAGACCACAACGCTCTACTTTTCTGGTAGTAAGATTCACCAAGAAGAAAGCTAAAAAGGGCAACATGAGTGAGGGTATCTATTGTATACTTACTGCAAGGAAGATCTGAAGAGAACTGTGAGCCACTTCTATGTACTGATACTCAAGAAAACACCCCGAGACAGTGATATAACGATGATCCTCTGGAGCCCAGTCTGGGGCTGGTGTTACTGAGGTCACGGTGCAACCTGGTCCATTCTCCATCCACCATGAACGATGCATTGAGATATTAAATGTCAGAATGAGATCTGTTTCCTGCAAAATAACGTGGGAAGAATTAATGCTTTGGGATAGTACTCTGGTATTGAATGTCTCAGCTAGAGATTTCACAGTACACTTAAAAAAGAAAAGAACACCAATAAAATCATACCTTCACATGAAAATCAGCTGAGCTTGCCAGCAAGAAATGCAAGTAGCTGCACCTTGACAGGCAGAATTTTCTTGAAGCAAAAGAATAATCCTGCAAGCCAGGATCTGCTCCCAAACATTATACTAACCTGTACCATACAGTCATTTTACATTGATTATTATCCTATGGGAAACCACAGGGACTGATGGACATGCACATTTAACAGCAACCCTCCTGTGCTCATTTGGCTCATATTTTGCTGGTGCAATCTACCAAACTGTACAAGAGTCCTCAATATCTGAGACTTTACTATGTGCAGATCATATGCAGTTTTTTTCACGTGGACTCTGCAAAGCAGAATTCTGGCAACTCTGTCGGAATATTGGAGAAGGATCAGAAAAAAGATTCTGTACAGCTGATTAAAAGCATTGCTTCTCTGCAAAGCTTGTCTTAGTCTTTTAACTCTGTATAGAAATCTGTACAGAAACAGCTGCTATGTGTTGCCTTGTCTAAAGACTTCTCAGCTTGTTAAATAAAAGGGCAAAGAAGCCTGCAACCTTCAAGTCTCGTGCAGCTGATACAAGGGAGCTAGTGCAAGAGATTCAGCCATGCTTTCCGCTAAGATTGCATTTATGAATAGTTCATAAAGGATTAATGAATGATTAATATATATCATAAATAATACTACAGATATGACTTTCATAAATTATACTTGGTTGAACATTACTTGAGGGTACTATACATAGTTATAACAAAACTATGGACTTTGCGGATTCTGTAATAGCCTACAGTATTTACCAACTCTTTATAAATTATTTATGTGTAACCTCATTGTAAAGTGTGACTATCTTGTGCACATGTGCTCAGTCATGCAAAAAAAAATTGCTTTTAAGTAGTGTCTTTGCAGAGTCAAATTCTCCCCACACCTAACCTACATTTTTTTCAGTGTGTTGATGACATTAATAATTAAAATTATCATAAAAATTTTAAATGTAACTATTTAATTAGGATTACCAAGACAAAAGGAAGAGAATGTCATTCAGTAGCTCATATGCTGTGTGCAAATTTCCCTTCCTTCAGAAAAAGTAATTTTTTCAGTTTCACATATTTTTCCTTTTTGTACTACTTTAAGCAAAAGTAACTCTTTCCATAGTGGTTTCAGATAATGACATGACTGACATATCAATTGATCTGTGATTATTCTGTAGCACAGCTGATTTTTTTAAAGTTCAAGTTCTTAATTATATGCAGAATTTCAGTACATTGAAAAAACTCAATGACTACCCTTCCTGAGCACATCCACGTAACAGATGGCAAGAAGGACTATAAATATTTTTGTGATTTTGTGATTCTACATCCACACAGCAGCATGATCCAGCAATTAACATGCTCTGTGAGTAAATATGTATCTTTCAATTATATTAATCGTCACAACTAACTTCAGACATTTGAAGATGATTAAAGCAACCATGAACTTTTGGATAAACAACCCAAATTTTTAGAAATTGATATATTTACATATGACCACAAGCTTTCATACACAATAAACTTTTCCTTTCTCTGTGCCTCTCTGCAGCAAAGCAGCTAGTCTAATGCCTGCCTATTGTTTCTTGCAAATGAGCTTTTTTCCCCGAACACTCAAGCCAGAAGACTATTTTTATCTCTGTACTCAGGGCTCTTAGAACTCCTCAGTAGTACACTGGCCTTTCAACCTTGCATAAGAAGTTGAAGAATTAGTATCTTTGGAGCAACTTTGCTTTAAGACATTAACTTATTCCTGAATGACGAAAATAAAACTCCATCACATATTCTTAGAAGACCTTTAATTCATTCTAGTTGCCATGGAAAATTCTTAACCTCTAGTCTCTTATCAGAGCAGCAGCATGAATGAATATAACTTACTGGCATTCTTTATTTTATTATTTGTGATACCTTCAGAAGAGTCATGATGATAAAAATATTTTACAAAGTGCAGACGTAGCATGAAATATGTATTCCCTAAAAAGGAAAGGCATTAGCTGGCTGGCAGGAACCAGTTATTTGTTATGCATCTGCTAGATGATGTTAAAATGGAATAGGAGGAGCTAAGCAAAGATCAAAACTAGTCTCTGTGATTAGAATATTCCAATTTTTCTAAAGACAGCTACGTTTGCTTACACAGGGTGCAGTAGCCCAAAACTTTACAGGTTAAAAACATAAAGTAAATATAATCACACACTGAAATACTTATAATTAGGTACGTAAATAAACTTCGCAACATCTTGCTATCTTACGTCCCAGAATTTATGCCTGGTTGATTTTCTGAAACAATCCACTACATTTAGAAAATTCTATTGCCCACAAAACATCTTTTCACAATTAAGTTGTATACTTTGATTTGGACTAAACAAGATTATTTTGTCCAGTAATAGTCTTTTAGTGCAAATAAGTAAAAAAAACCCTAGAGTCTATCAGTTCTATATTTTATTCCTGTCTTTGAGCACTCAGTAAAATACTGCATTATTCCTTCTGCTCAAAAAATAGACCGGATACTTATCACAGTCTTATGTCACTTAATTCCTGGTATTAATAAAAAAAAATCTTTCCGTTTGCAGCTGAGACAATGTTAATAGCACACCCATACTAAGTTGTTCCTGAAGGGCTGGAACAGACGTGGGACCAAGCCAGGTTACTCGACAGGAAGAGCCACTGCCTTTATGGTACAGCAACAGTAGGCAGGGCAGAGCTGAACCAGGACAGGTGCCTGAATTAGGCCAAGGGCTGTTCCGTACTGTGTGACATCATGCAGAAGGCCATAAAGTTGAGGGGATTTTGCTAGAGACAGCGGCTGCTCAGGGGTTGTGGGGTGTTGGTCAGTGGGTGGTGAGACATTGTGTTACTGGTGGGCTGCCACTTAGGCATTTGTATTGTGAGCAGGGCATCAGTTAGCAGGTGGTGAGTAATTGCATTGTGGATATATAAGCATGCATAGTTATCATCACTTTTTTTTTTTTTAGCCTTAGAAAGTATTTTTTTATCTCAACTTATGAGTTCTATTTCCTTTCCACTTCTCTCCCTCATGACACCTGGAGGGAAATGAGCGAATGGCTGAGTGGTGCTGAGTTAACCAGGTTGCCAGGTTAAACCACAACACAAATCCTGCTGAAAAGCCTGCACTTCAAATCTTAACTCTGAATAATGTGGCTGAAAAGGCTATCAAGCAGGGTCATTATTATATATTGAATTACTTAATAAACAAGGTAAACTTCAGAAAGCGAAACAGTAAGTGGAGACAAACTCTTGTTGTGGCAATATTAGACATCATTCACGTCTAAGGGCAAATTCAGCACAAATAAAAATGACGAAGTCAAATTTTCAAAAACAATCATGAGTCAGGTCCCGAAAATTATCTCCAAAATACATAGGATTAAGTATAGATGCAGACAAAGCCTCTTCACATCATCATCAGCTGCCACAGTCAGATCATTCAAAATATAAATTGGTATGTACTCTGATCTTGCTTATAACCTCTAGACCATGTACTCTGATATGCACACATATTAGTAGACCATTTCCTGTGTTTTAGTAGAGAAGGTCACCCAACTTATGAAAAAATTTTATGTTGTAGTGAGAAAACAAATGAGAATTTGAACCTCCTGCTAGAACTGTGTGAGCCAAAGAGAGCACGATGTATCTGTCATTAACATCATTTACACTGAAAAGATTTAGAACAATTCTTTGACAAATTCCTCTTGCCATTTACTCTGTTCACTGTTTGAATACAGTTTTAGTGGACATAGACTAAGTCTACAATGGAAGTAGGGGATTTTCTGTACTCTCCAGTGTATTTGCTGTCTGTTTTCTTTTCGACATCTGTGGCTCAAACATTGCTCAGGGAATTGCAGAGAAATGGTCTAATAAGCCTTGAAGCTGTGAAACTCAACAAAAACTGTTGATATGTATTGGGCATGCCAATACGATGATGTTCACAGTCTGTATGTCAAGGAAGATTTCATTATCTTAAATTCAACAAACAGCTGCTTCCTTCATGAACACAAAAATACATCTGTATGAGCTTTATGGATGATCACTGTGATGCTTTTGTAAATCCTGCTGATATTTGTAAAGCCTGTTAATGAAAATTGGTGCATTAAAATAGATTTTGCTATTCACTGAGGAGTAAAAATTCAGAGGAAAATATTTAGTAAGGCATGTTTGCTAACACTCAAGAAGTGTTGATATTTGTAATGGTTAGGAGCTAGACAAAAGCTGGAGTTTGGAGGTCTCAGAGGCTCACATGTCAAAAAACAGAAACTGAGACCTCTTCCAATTAAGTCTCTAACCTTATTTATTTCAGGATGGTTTGTGTAAAAAAAAGTTGAGCTTTGATGATTTTTTTTGTACATACAATATATAACAACTTCTCCTGGAGTCAACTGAACAGTATATAACTGAATGAGGACAGCTGATGAAAAAACATGGCAATATAAAATTTTGCAAGAGTCACCAGAAATGAATAAAACTTTCTTTGCATTAAAGAGCAGCAGGAGGCCTGCAGTGCTCAAAATGAAGATATGTAGTAATTACAAGACAACACTGTTTCAATTATTTTGTTAGTGCTCTGGTGCAGTTTAGAGACGCTGATTCCAAATACAATACCAAGAGTTAAGAAAAAGCAGTGATTCAGTGTGATCCTCTTTGAAAGTCTGTAAGACACTGCGGGCTCAAGGAGTTTGTACTGATTTCAGTGGTTGTGGTTTGCTATGCCATGGGAAGTAAGTTGCCTCCATTTTTTCTAATTAGGAATTGCTGAAATCTGTGCAAACATGCCAGGATTCTGGACAAGCTTTTTCAAATAGAACCGTGTAACCACCTGTTTCATTTTTCATTCTCAATCTAGCAAGAAGAGACTGAAGATGGAATGATC